TTTATGTGTGCTTATTTATATAGAAGTGTTTTTATTGATACAGCACTAAAATGTGTATCAATCTGGAAGTATGAAGTGTTTTGATTTGAGCTTGAGTCTCATTTGTTTGTTGACATTGGAAGAATGTGAATATGATATATATATATATAATTCATTATTGTAAGTTTGGCCAGGTTCTGAGCCATATTGATAATGTCGGAAAGTGAGACGTGTTGTTGACAATAGTGTCATGAGATTGGATAATGATGTAATTGATTATCATGGTTAACCATCTATTGAATGCTATTGCTTTATTCAATGCTTATATTTGGTTTAGTATATTTCTACTGGGCTGTGGCTCACCCTATATGGGAACATCATTTTCAGGTTCAGGTGATAAGCTACCTCCAAGGACATAGCTTGGAAGGACTTGGACTTTGAAGATTATTTTCAGTTATTTGCTTTCATTTGTTAGTACATGTAAACACACAAGCCTAGGGCTTTATTTGTATTTGAGTTAGAACTCTTACTTTTATGTCCAAGTGTTGGCTTGGAAAGATGTAAGCCTGTAGGGCATTTAATTTGATGTTACATGTAATGCTTTTGTTTAGTAAGACTCTCATGAATATTATAATGAACTGTTTCCTTTTTAACATTGCATGTTGATGTTATATATATTTAATGGGTTTATTTTCGAGGGCGTTACAATCCTCCTCTAGGAAATCCACATCTCGTGACTCAATTTCAGTCACACTTCCATCCGGATGCTCCCCAACAAACACATAGCCCTTAGGCCACAAATTGCCCAAACCAGTATTTTTGCCAGTCCACATCTAATATGGAATGGAAGGAACTGATTTAGAGGGCACATGGTTAAGGACGTAGGCAGCAGTCAACAAAGTATCTCCCCAATAAGAAATTGGAAGATTAGCTTGCGCCATCATTGATCTAACCATGTCAAGCAATGTGTGATTCCTTCTCTCCGCTACACCATTTTGTTGCGGAGTCCTAGGAATTGTCGATTGCCTGATAACTCCTTTTTTCCTCACAGAGCACTTTAAATTGCTTAGATAGATACTCACGTCCTTGGTCAGTCCTTAGAGCTTTAATTCTCTTGTCTAATTGATTCTCGACCTCATTAACATACCGTCTAAAGCAATCCAATGCTTCTGACTTGTGAGAAATCAGATAGACATGACCAAAACGTGTGCAATCATCTATAAATGTGATGAAATAAGGGGCTCCATGTCTTGCCCTCACATTCATTGGTCCACATATATCAGAATGAATAAGTTGCAATGGGATAGATGCCCTTATGGCTTTCCCAAATGGTTTCCTTGTTGCCTTTCCAGTAAGACAGTGCTCACAAGTAGGCAAAGTGACTCTAGCGAGTGGGCCTAAAAGACCTTCTCTAGCCAATCTAGTCATCCTGTCTTGCCCTATGTGGCCTAATCTAGCATGCCATCTCATAGAATCATTATCACAAAAAGATGCAATATTAGAAATAGAGCCATTGGCATTTTTATTAATACTAGAATCATCCACATCCAAAACTAAAAAACCATCTGAAAGATAACCAAAACCATAAAAAGTTGTTCCCAAATAAATGCTAACACCATTATTCTCAAAACAAAAGCTAAAACCAAGGCTCATCATGCTAATAACTGAAACTAAGTTTCGCCGAATATCCGGAGCATAAAGAACATCATGAAGATACAAGGTGCGCCCTCGTCGCATTTCCAGCTTGAATGTGCCTATGCCAAGCACCTCCACACTGGACTCGTTCCCCATGTAAACTTTTCTGCTCCCAGCAGGTACTCGACGATACTCAACGAACCCTACTCTGTCCCTCGCGATGTGGTCTGTTGCTCTGGAGTCTACAACCCAAAAATGAGGAGAATGAGCAATTAATGCTTGACTAGACACAAAGCATTGAATGCGAGAAATTAAGTAAGGGAGTACCTTCTTCTGTTCAGGGCAATCCCGAGCGAAGTGTCCTTCTTTGTTACAGTTAAAGCATGTCAATTTAGCCTTTGCCTTCTTACCACCTCTCTTGCCCCTACGCTTGAAATTTCTAGCGCCATTGGGCTTTAGCGCGGTTGTTGCTTGCTTCTTAGGGGCACCTTTTGCTTTTTCACGTTTGAACTGAGAAGTCCTACGTGAGCTTGACTCAACCACCATAGCAGAACCATCAGACTTAGCCGCCCCAAGGCGCTCAGTCTCTAGCTCCAAATGACGCGATATGTCTTCGAATGTTTTCACACTCTCATTATGCATCATGTTCTGCTTCATATGCTCCCAAGAATTTGGTAGAGAGCGTATCACAGCCTGTACTTGCTGCTCTTGAGTCAAATTGTGCCCAGCAGCCGCAAGCTCACGTATCATGGCTGACATGACTCTCAAATGCTGCTTCATCGAGTGATGCGCCCTTTTCTGATATGAGTCAAACTTCATAGTCAACCCACGTAGCTTTTTCAAAGAGGTAATACCAAACTTTTGCTTGAGAGATTCCCACATCTCAAATGTAGTCGGGCAATGCTCAAACTCACTAAACAAGTCGTTATGCATGCTGCTCAACATAGTAAAGCGCGCACGCCGATCTTTGTTACGCCAAGTCTAAAAGGCTTCAAGATCACAACGATGTTGAGCTGTATTGCCCTGCTCTGGCTCAACCATCACTTGTTCAAGTGTGGTCAACACTTCTTGCTCATTGAGGAGGTATTGGATCTTACAGCGCCATATATCATAATTGTCGCCATCCAATTTCTCTCCTTTAGTTAAGTCTGCCACCACTGTCTTAGCAGCCATTTCTACATACAGAGTAAACAAATGCGCAGGGGATATTAATGATAGCAACACAAAACAAAATATTTTGCAGCAAAAAGAATCTAAATTAAATAATGATAATTTTACACATATCTCAAGATCGAAAATTTGCTATGCTCGTAATCATCTCTTGCGCCTCTAGTGATAATTATCAAAAATTAATTTAATTCCATGTGCAAATAAAATTCTCCCACTACTTATGGCATATACAAAGCATGATAAATTCCATACAATAGCATCTCAATGTAAATTTATAAACAACTCATGCTATATTTATTTAATAATGGAATTCAAATAAATAAATAAATAAATAATCATGCTTCTTTAATTGCAACATATTACTAACCCAAAAAATATGCTGTATTCAATATTCAGATTATGCCATAATTAAAATGTACAATTCTGAAATTTTTCTGGAATTTTAAATAACTAATTAAACACACATAAAATTAGAAATAAAAAAAATCGAAACTGATAAAATGAGACAATATTACCAGTAAAAAATAAAACCTTTCAGAAGTCTACAATAAATATTTCAGCCCCAGAAAATTCTGAAATATTCTGGAATTTTAAATAACTAATAAACACACATTAAAATTAGAAATAAAAAATCCAGAATCTGATAAACTGAAAAAAAAATTCCAGTAAATAGTAAAACATTTCAGAAGTCTACAATAAAAAATCTAACCCCAGAAAATAATTTATGCAATACCAGAATCATTTTAAAGCATAAAACATGAATTATTAACACAGAAAAAATATTTTTTATTTTTGTAAAATTTTCAAAATTTTACAAAATGTAGAAAAATTAATTCTGAGTCTAACAGTACAAGCCACGCATAAAACAAATATGTAATGAATTAATTATGACCATTTAACGCGATTCAGAATTAAAAACAAAACAAACAGTGCCTAATCCGCCAGCAGCGGCGCGTGCAGGCGCGTCGGCATGGCGTCTGGCGCGTGGGAGCGCATGGGAGCGTCTCACGGCGTCAGGTTGCGCGTGCGGATCACGCGCCGCCTTCCAGAGTGTTTTCTAGTCCGATTTTTGTACAGCTGGACTCCCTTTTTCAAAATAAAACCATTTATGGTATGAAAAAAGACATTAATTAACATAAAAAAAATATTTATGCTCTTAATCTAATAAAAGTAGATTTTTTTTCTCCTTTACAAACATTCATGTATATAATGTAAACATACACATGTAAAAATATACACATGATTAAAGAAAACACGAAATATCCATTAATCGCTCTGATACCAATGTAAGCAAAGTATAACGCTGCGAAACATATCAATTATGGTCATACCTTTCAACTGGAGTCTGAATTGAAAGATCACGTGGGTAAATCACGTGCTTCCTGAATCTGGTCAATCAACCCAGCAATGGGGTGATATTACAATAGTGAATATCTCTCACACAAACCACAGTGCAAATGGCTTTGATTGTTGTTTTTGGGAGAGAGTCAGTGTATGGGAAAAACTCAAACATACGTTATTTTTCTCTTAATCACCCATATCCCATATATCAGATATATAATCTATTTATCTCATTTAATTATATGAGATAATATCTGATATCTATATCATCAATCCATATCATGATATGATAGATATATATCCTGAGTGGTTATCCAAGTAAGTTTGAATTCAAATTCAAAACCCATTTGGATAAGGTTCAAAAGGCTGAAAAGGGTCATGCCACATGGGCGCCCATTTCTAACAAAGAGTATCATAGAAGAGCTACACAATCCCAAATAAGTTGGCACCGAATAGCCTACCCAATCATTTGCTAGCACACTCTTCAAGGTTTGTGAGAAATCAACACAAACAACACGATGAAAGATAAAAACAGAGCACAGCAGAGATAGACCACAGCAAGACACAGCCAAGAAATTACCCTGCGACTGCACAACAGAGCAAAACACTCGATCTAGCAAACCCCACTTATCTTCTGTGCCCAATGCTACTTCTAACCTGCTGAATTTGATGCACAAAGTCATTAACAGAGTAGAACCTCCCAATTGAGTGGGTTTTTAGAAAAGACCTACCCTGAACAATTGGGAGATTAAATAAAGGAAAAATGAGTTTTTTTTTGGCTCAAATAGTTGAATAAAGAGTCAACAAAAATATAATTTTGAGGTAAATCTCTTCTACCAGAACAGATGAAGAAAGGAACATCGATCATATATATAAGGGAAATAGTACAATAGAGAACTACAATCCAACTGAAATGATCACAATTAAAGACAACAGAGACCATCACAAAATCATAGAAATTAAGACAGCGAAAAGCTCATATGACACAACACACAATGAGAAACAACAATCTTTTCAAAGCATCTAAAACAATAGCTTCTCCAAAACATCACAGCTCAATGGTAGTATGAGTAAGTTGAAAGTAACTCAAACTACCCATTCACACATTCCCCGAAAACATTCGCAAGGGTTTGAAAAAACCCTTTTGCTTCGTAACCTGCCTCGATTTCATCCATTGATTCTTCAGATGTATCTTTCTCTAGCCTTTTTATTTCGTCCAAGTGCATAAGTAGAAGCCAAACATGAGTGACAAATTGTCCACCACTTCTAAGCTCTTGAGCATGATGCTTCAATAGGCAACGATTCGCGGCATGACATAACATCTCCACCCACACATTGCTCATAATATTCCACTTGTTCTCTTTTTCTTCCTTCAAACCACAAACAAGTTTTTGGATCTTGTTCATTGTCAAATTGGTGCTCCATTCTTCCTTCCACTCTTTCTCCAAGAGCTTGTAAGGTTTTACATTAGATGATCCAGAATCTCTTTCATCAAAAAACTTTTTCACATTAGTATAGGCCTCATCAAATGTGTCAATATCATCGCAGATGGGTAAACTTGGACATGAGAAGCAAATGCATCATGTAATATGACAATATTTTAGTTGTTTCCACTTCATCTGTGATCAACTTAGGATCTTCCAATTCTAAATGATAGCAAACGTCCGTAGCAACATGCCATATGACAATACTTTCATCAAATTCTAGCTCGATAATCCACTTAAATGCATCCAGATGTCCATAATTTGTAAGGGTCCACTCACCTATTTTTCTGTTTGAAGCCTCAGAAGTTTCAGCTTCGGGAACATTCCTCTTCAGCTTGTTGCGAAGCTGATTGATGATTAGTTCTTTCAAACTAGGTTGGATTGGACTCAATGGCAGGCTGAACTTCGCCAACACGATTTCCCTGTTCCACACAGTTTCTACAATATTATAGACCATGTTGCACTTATTTTTGGTGCAATAGTTTAGTAAACTAAATTGTCCCATAAGCTCAGACCACCGTTTGCTTTTAGAGAACACAAATTCGTGTAGATGAAAAACTGGCATGACCAGCTTACTCGGGTAATACTTAAATGCCCAAACAATTGCCCAATCTGAACAAAGTTGCGCAAGAACTCCAGCTATCTCTAAAACAAGGGCTCCAACAAGCAAACATATGGTAATCAGAATATCACCTTCTAAAAGCTCACGAGGCTTTTTAAAGAAGCAAAATACCACCAGAACAAAAGCTATGCAAGAGAAACTAATCAATCTAAGAATGCTTCCATAGAATGTAAAAACCGTGCCTACCTTGCTGAAGAGGATGTCATACATCAATCCCAACTCAATCTCAATCAATTTGAAAGTATTGTGAGTAGTACCCCTTTCAAGCACCCATTCGCGGAATTCACGAATCAATTCGTGTCTACGTTTGTTTTGCGCATTATTGGGAATAAAGGTCTGGAAAAAGGAATAGGCTTGGAGCACTAATTTCACGTTAGGTCGTTGTTCCTGTGCAATACTATCTCTAATTTTGGATTCACCTAACACAACAAAACCCTCATACTTTTCCTTAGATCCTGACTTGATTACCCACACTCTCTCTCCATACTTGATAAGTCCAGAAAAAAACATCAACAGAGCCAGAATAGACAACTTATTATCACGAATATTCCAGGTTACAATCATGATAACACTTGTTCTTACACCTTGTGTAAGTAGTCCTACAAGTTGTTTCAACCACATGCTGGTTTCTTCCAAGCGTAGGATAGTTAGGGTATCTGGACCTCCAAGAAAGAAAAAGATTATTGTTGCCCATAAACCTCTCAACAGATTTGTTGAATTAGTATCAGAGGCGTCAGCATTGAGCTTTGAGTCCTTTCCAAGAGCAATTGTTGCCAGCAAATCAGCGAGCAAGTATAATAACCCAACACCCATAGTATTCATCAGCCCTGCTGTACTCTTTCTACGGCGTTGTCCAAAAATATGAAGGTATAATTGAGTAAAGAGGATACATATAGCTAGAACCCTCAAGTCCCAAACACCCCAGATTTTCCTCAAGGTTTCAAGAGTATTCCTTTTGACTATCTTACAGATCCTGATGCACGGCATGATTCTCTCTTCTGTGATGCACATGTAGATGAAAAATAACAGGGAAAAAATTAAACACACTTACAATCTTACTAACATGGGAACCAAATGCGAGAGAGAGCCCCACAATTACACTATGTCTGGTAACCGAGGAGAGAAGAGAAAAGAGATGATTATGTAAGTTAGGAGAGAAAATAAAATATTATGATTTTTCTCATATTTGTTTGAATGAATAGGAGAAAAAAGAACAGAAAAGATATTGATTGGTCTCCTATCTTATTTAGTTAAGCTATGTAAAAGAATTGAAATGAAATGATACCATGTTCTCTTCCTAATTAAATTAACCTTTTATAAATGTTAGTCTTTTTATTTCTTTTATATCTAAAAGAATATAGTTTTGGTATTATAACAGAATAATATTTTGTTATTTCTTTTCTCTTATAGTCTCTCTATTTTTGAAGATATTCAAAATGGGAGTTAGGAGAGAAATGGATCTATTCTCTCCATTTCTTTCCATTTTACTCAATACTTATCTAAACAGGTGATATAGACTAAGAAAAATACATTTATTTTATTTTCTTTCCAAATCACTCAATCCAAATTGACTTTACATCTTTTGCATATTTAAGTGTTAGTAGCAACACTAAACAAAAATGGAACAGAAGCAGTCATGATTCCGTGTCTCATAAAAATGTGAAAACTTTTCATTAGATTTCATACATTAAAAAGGCTTACAATGGTATTGCATCTGAGGTTGGCATTAGTGAAAAATGTCTACTTTGGACTTAGCTCATTTAAAAATTGGTAAATTATACCATTATGTCCTCATAATTTAAGTGAAGTGTTATTTTAATCTCTGTAGCTGTAATTTGAAAAATTTAAACTTGAAATTTTCAATTTCGTTACAATGTTGTCCCAATCATATGTCGTTAACTTTTTAACAGAAAAAGGCTATATGCAAAATTAGTGGGATCAAAGTGAAATTCAAAAGAAATTAAATTTCACTTTGGTTCTTTTAGTTTTGCATATGATTTTTTTTTTTTCCGTTCAAAATTTAAAAGTGACAGAGGGATGACATTGCAACAAAATTAAAAATATACAATTTCCAATTGTTCAATTGAATACTACAAAGACCAAAGTGATAATTCATTCAAATTAGAAGGATCAACAGTGTGACTTACCTTTTAAAATTTGAATAATTGACATTTTTAGATGTGAAAGTAAAGCAACTCGATCTAAAATATTTAATTTCTTTATGAAAATTTAAATTAGATATGTTTAAATAATTTTAATTCAAAGTAAAATATTCACAAAATAAGGCCATTCATACAACCAAACTAATCCTTAAACTTTTCAAAAGGAAGCTAGAAGTCATTGTACAATTTAAAATTCTATTTGATATAAGGAAACTACCACTTTTAACTTGATGGCCAAACCAAGTATATTAGTCTAATAGCTGTGTACCACCATTTTATGGTATAAGGTTACAGGTTCAATTCTTATAGAAAATAGTTTAAATCGTTTCTAGTGTATATTTCTCCCTTATTATGAAAGTTGTACGTTCTTATTTATTGCTTCCCAAGTTTGAGCAATTATTGGACTTTAATCGTCCAATTTGAATCTCCTAGTTGGGATTGTCTAGCTCGCTATGATATTCTTTGCACCCCATCTTTATTGATTGCATCCTATTTTCTTTTTAGATTATCAATAAAGTTTCGTTTGCTAATATATATATATATATATAGCATTTTTCTTCTTAAAAATGAATGCAAATAAACCAAATTAATTTCATATTAAATAGACAGTGTATTGAGCTAATTTGTTCAAATATGGATATTACTTCCTAAAAGAACACTAAAACATGTGATCCAATGGAATAAAAGCATGTAAGTAATTACTTAAGGAAAAGAAGAACAAAATATAAATTTCAAAATGTAATAGTTTTAATGAAATCTAAATGCATTTACTGAAAAACTAAAATGACCATGTTTGGCCCAATCTTTTTATTTATAAAAAGCTGTGATTTCAAATGGTGGTATATTTCGACAAAAATAAAAAATATATATAGTATTTTTATAAATATTTATTATTCAATCTATTCAATCAAAACGCTCATAGGAACATGGAATTATATTTTTTTGTGTGTATTATTTAACATTATAACTTCGAAATTGGGAATGTATGATGGGTTCGTAAACAAATAATTAAAAAGAAGAAGATTATTGTTAAGATAAAAAAAATTATGATAGAGCTACTTTTCTAGTAGTTCGAATGAAAAAAACATATAGTAATATCTTTATGTTATTAAGCAAGGACATAATAAGCATAGAAAAGAGTCTCTCTATCTCTTTCTCGGTATGTAAAAGAGTAATTTCCTATTCTATTGCTGGATGCATGGAAAAGAGTCCCTCTATCTCTTCCTTTGTAAGTATGTAAAACAGTAATTTCTATTCTATGCACGTAACAAAATCAATAATAATCCTAAATATGATGTTAGCACACAAAAATTAGAGCGATAATAGAACATAAAATAAAAAAGAAGTTGGACAAAATTCTTATTGATTTTATTTGTTTTTAAAAAAAAAAACTAATTCCTTGAAGCTTTTTTTAATTATTTTTATTATTATGAGCAAAATAAGGGAAATCTTTATTGATATAAACCAACAAACAAAGAGGAATTGCGTCAATAGAGATCGGAGAAGTGGGTGCAAAAAATATCATAGTTACACAAAATAATCCTAACAAAGTTGACACCAAAATATGAGCGCAATCATATGCCTATACGCCACCCAGTTGGAGAGGATCCAACCAAAATAAAAAAACAGTGTGATGCAACAACAATAGAAAATGAGTGCAAGATTGTGGAAAGGTAAGGAAACAAAAAACACTATTCCAACAATAATGTTATAATAATGCTCAATTCTTTATTGATATAAACCAACAAACAAAGAGGAATTACGTCAATGGAGATCGGAGAAGTGGGTGCAAAAAATATCATAGTTACACAAAATAATCCTAACAGAGTTGACACCAAAATATGAGCGCAATCATATGCTTATACACCACCCAGTTGGAGAGGATCCAACCAAAATAAAAAAACAGTGTGATGCAACGACAATAGAAAATGAGTGCAAGATTGTGGAAAGGTAAGGAAACAAAAAACACTATTCCAACAATAATGTTATAATAATGCTCAATTCTATTTTATTGAAGGGTAAGGAAATTGAGAGAAAATAGCTTTTCAACTTACCAGTTATGTGAATGCAATCAACGAGTGCTCTTCAGAAGTAGCTGCTGATGTGGAGAGTACCGAGGGTTTTGTCCTTGAAAATCACTAAAAACTTTCACACGTAATGACTTGAGAGAGAGAAAGAGAGAGAGAGAGTGAGAGAGAGAATGAACAAGTGTCATTAATTTATAGGAGTGGATACTGAGAGCTTAGATGAAGATTTGTTTCACTATTATATGAATAAGATAATAAATAAATTAAAAACAGTGCAAAAGAGTAAAAGTTTGAAAGATACCTTACTTGCTTGTAGCATATCATATATGCTTTGATTGTGAGTATGAGAGATTGTTTGAACAACTTTCATTTGAAGACTCATTCTATTTTATTTTGTTATTATAAATTATAAATATATTTTTTGAGATTTATTTTGAATACTTTTTTTTATAATTTTGAAATCATTTTTGAAATTATATCTTACTCTTTAAAATTTTTCGTTGCATAACAAATAACTCATTTTATTAATCAATCATTAAATCGATTAATAGATTTTAATGATATCAGTAATATATTTCAATTAATAGTTTTGATAATTTTTCTTATTGTATAAAAGCACAATTATGAATTTTATTCTTTCTGTTAACTTTATTAAATGAAAATTTCTGAAAACGAAGTTTTACAATTTCTACAATCACAAAGAGCCATCCATATTTTAAATTTTTTTTTTTTTAATCTTGAAGAAAAAATCTTTATTGCAAAATCAAAAAAAAAAAAATAAAATTAATTCAATACAGTGATATAACAAAATCTAAAAAAGTGACAAATAACTTCCATAAAATGAAGGATCTAAACAATTTTTAAAATGTTTATCACACTTCATTATTATTCTATTATATGAAATCACTTTTTCTAGTTTTTTTCTCTCTCTTCTTGGTTCCCCATTATATACCTGTAGATTACTCATCTCCAATTGTTGCTCAAAAAATCTTTTGACCTATCGCCACTTTGAAGATTCAATATAATTAATTTCACTTCCTTTAAATCATTTATTTGTACCAATGGTATTTTCTTTAAATAGAGACGTAACCTTACAGTTGTAGAAAATTTTATTTTATGGAACTAGATTGCTAAGATCTAGTAAAAACGAAAAAGAAAAAACAGAGCATTGAAAAAACATGAGGTTAGGTGCCAAGGCTTTTCAACAGCCCTGCAATCCTTTATGGAAAATGTTATGCATCCCAAATGGATTATCAAATTTTTTAACAAGTCTTTTATATAGTTGTGGAACTCACACAAATCATATATCCACACCCATGTAAGAGATTTAATACAAAATTTAATAATTTATTTGAGATTCTTAACCTAACTTAACTGATCCTTTATATTTGTTCCAAGCATTACACAGTTTATTGCATGTCTACCAGATCCGTGGTTATTTATTGCTTCCTCTTCTGCACCACTGTGTCGTCAGCCGTGGTTATGTTGTGTTTGCTTGAAAGTTTTGGTGAGGAATTTGGAAAGAAAAAGAGAAAAGAGGTGTGAAATTAGATGAAATTAATATATATTTTATTCACATTTCACTTGTCTTTTTCATTTCTTTTTCCAAATTCTTCAACGAAACACAACATAAGGTAATTTCTCTTCTCAAGAATCAATCCTATGGTGCAAGCCTAAAGTTTTAGTTCTATGCAAGATGACGTGGCATCATCTAAATAATGGGACAGAAGATTGGTACAGCAAATTAAGACAGGTGATCTCAAGCCTGATGGCATCAAAATGGATTTCTAGGCCCCACCCGCGGACAAATGAAGGCAACGAGGATGAGTTAATTTTATAATTTTTAAAATGGAAATATTAATAAAAATTATAAATAATATAATATATTGTATAAGAGCTAAAGATTTAATATGAAAAATAAGTTTGGGAGCCTAGTGTTGCTGCCCAGATTTTTGGACCTTCGCACGAGCGAGGATTTTGTCGCTCGAGCGAGAGTGAGGTTTGTGTCTGGTGGGTCGAGCCAGGGTGGCTTCGCTCGAGCGAGTGTTGCGTCTGGTTCTGGACCTGAGAGTTGTGTTTCTTGGCTCGAGCGGTCTGGTTTGTTCTTCGCTCGAGCGAGCGGTCTGTCGCTCGAGCATGCTTGTGGTTGCAGACCTGAGGGTTCGAGTTGTTGGCTCGAGCGAGCATTCCTTCACTCGAGTGCACTTTTGAGTTTGTGGCTCGAGCAAGAGTTTCTTGGCTCGAGCGAGAGTTTCTGTGTCTGGTCGCTCGAGCGACCAAGGCTTCGCTCGAGCGAGCGTGTTTTATATCAGCGGACAGTAGCGATTTTAAACATCACTTTTTCACTTTCTTTTGATCCAAAACCTAAATCCGAGACCCTCTCTCTCTACACTTATATTTTCTCTAAGATTTGATCTCCCTAGAGTGTGAATCTAGCCTAGGGCTTTTGTTAAAAAGATAGAGGACATTGAGAGCTTTGTTTTAATCTGAAAAAGTTTGGATTTGGAGCACGTTGGTCTTCGAGTCTTCATCTCCTTTTTGGCCCAAACTTCGAGGTAGGGATATCCTACTCCTCTCTATGAATTTTGTCTTTAAATTTTGGTATTTTGAGATGTTGGGGTTGGTTTGGTAATTTGGTGAAAGTTTGGGGCTTTTGTGTAATTTTACAAAAGTTGGGGTTTTATTCATAATAAACCTAGATGAATGTTTGGAATAGAGAAATGATATAAATGATGAATCATTGATGAAAATAGAACCTAAGGGTTGAAATGTTAATTATGGGAATTGACCTAATTACATTGTTTAATTAATTGAGATAATTAATTGTGAGAAATGAAATGTTGATTGAATATCCATTGTGCATTTATTTTCTGTTATAGAAATAACTGCTTGGGCTATCGGTGGAGGATAGTCGTGATTGTTGTAGACAATGCATGATGATTAGGCAAACTGAAACTAATCAATGAAATGTGTCATGGAACTTGACGGTTGATAGAATACATTAACTGTATGTATT